CAGCCCTCACGCGTTGGGGTAGGTCCACTCCGTACCAGGTTGGTATCTTCCCATCACCACTTAGCCGGAATAGTAGCAGCCACTTAGCTCACTTCAGAAGCTCATAGAGTTGTTTCCTAGTCTGCATCTTTCCCTCATGCTGTTTCAATCCTTGTTCGCTCTTCAAGTGCCTCAAACATTCATCCGCGGCTTTCATTGCACAACGAAGTGTCGAGACCGGGTATATCACGCAATTATAACTATCACCAACAACAAGTTGGACATGAAGTAACGTGTTTTGGACTTACCCTGCTGATGCAAATTCTTCGAGTTTAATCGCATCAGTCTTGCCGAACTCTGTCATATTAGCCAACAGAAAAGGACCCCCCTGAGGGGCCAAATTCATTTGACCAAGCCTCTGCATCTGCTCGGCAAAACTAAAGAGAACCCATTACGTCGATAAATGCAGGGAACTTGATCACGCTCGGAAATCCTCGATCGTGGCAAGGCCCTCTGGGAATATCATATCAGCGCCAGCCTCGACGTACTGGAAAACGAGTCACCCCTTCAGCTAAGTAGCGACACGTCACCTGCTTTGCTCGAGCAATGGCCTCCTCCATACCGTGGGTGCTGTAAGCATCGGTACCTTTGAGAGTTGCTAACCAGAGGAAATAAGACCGGTTCGTACGAGCACAGATGATGAAGTGATCACTTTCTCCATGATAGGCTGCATCAGCAGCTGCCCGTGCTCGTCGGACCTTCCCCATCATCTCCTCGGCTGAGACCAGCGTTTTCCCCTCCTGTGGAATTCCCATTATCAAACTATGTCATTGTAATGCTTCCTACAAGATGACCGCATCTCTTGGGGAACTCCTGGTCCTCGATATGAAGACCTGCTGCCCCTGCAGCGATGTACTCTCTAACCGTTTTGGATACCATCTCGTCCGACCCAAAGCCTGTGTCCGCGTCGCATATGAACGGCAAACCACCAGAGAAGGCCACAACCTGAAACTCTGGAATTCTCAAAAGTGCTCCACTCGTACTCGCGAAGTGAAGAAGTGAATTTCTAGTGTAGTTTTTCCCTCGTAAGCGCCAGAAGCCAACCAGTAGGGAATCAATTTACATGGTGATTCCAGCTTCGACAGTCCTTCATCGCCACATTCAAGGCTATCGAACCAGTATTTCCAGCATCGTCAAAGAATGCTTGCGAGCAACAACGAGTTTACGAGATACGAGTGGCAAAGCATAGCGCATCATCATCACTAAACCATGTATGATGGCCTTCATATCCTTGATTGAATGCGGTAGATGAGTGTTATGGTAACAGTCACCATCGTGGCATTTGTAGTATGATACAGCTTCACCACACGGCACCGGTCATACACTACAATACACCACATCTCCGTATTGACAATGTGACTTGACCACAATGCTTGCTGGTTGTAGCGTTGCCTCGGTCCCACACTTCAGATGGAAATTAAGTCACCCTCTTGGGCTGGCCGTTCGGGTGAGGGAGCAGCTACTACAACTCCCCTATGCATGGTAGATTCCGTTGTTATTCAGTATTCGCTCGTTTCACCTCAATTGAGCGGTGGATAACGACACTATGGGTGGAATCATGATACTCTAGCGTCAGTGACATGGCGCGCTCCGTTGGCGCGCCTTCACCCCTTTCCTCTTCTCCCCTATAGTAGTAGCAGCCTTATGGATCCACCACTGTGCTCGGATTCTGTGAAATCCTACATGACCTTTAACCCCACGGCTGATCATCGAAAGTCATTGATCTGCCTCACACCTACAGGCTGAAAGGTACCATTGTGAAAGGGTCTCTTTCGGTTGATGTATAGCATTAGATTAGGCCTGGACTTACAGATATACTTCCTTGGTAGAAGTCAGTATTTGAGGCGCCATTTTAACACGTGTATGCTAAGAATATGTGGAGAAAATGTTTACCACTTTTCGACTTTTTACTAACTACGAAGAGTTAACCCTTGAAACCCGGAGGTTACATCATGTGGAGCATGAGAGCATACCTTCCTGAGCCGCAATATGGTACTCGTTGAGGTGACTGTGCACGAGCCGAAAAACCGAATATGCTTAGAATATGTGGAGGGGTGTATACTGACTCATCTGAAACCCGTACAGGGTCAGCTATGGGGGAGATGGCTTGTTCTGAAGAGCTTGAATATACATATAAACGTTCCTACCACTCGTCCTCTATTTTGGGGGACTCAAACCGAGATCTCAAAGGGGCATAGTGACATACCTCTTTGATCTTGTCAGTGAACTGATCGAGTGTGAGAAGGCCGATATCAGGCACGCCGCTTGCTGCTGAAAGTGCCCCTCCCGACACGTATCCTCCAACGAAACCATTAACAGGGAGCATCCTGAGGAAATTAGCATCCTAGGAAGCTGCATTGAAGTAGTCTCACCTTGCAACGAGACCATTGAAGGCTCCTGGCAGCTGAACACACTGTGATGAGCGCATGAGGGTACGTAGCCGTCTACCCGCACTGTTCATTATATTCCCACTGGGCGGCACACACATAAACACACTACCAGGAACAAACAACTCACAACGTGTGGCTAAACTAACATAACATCATCACTCACTGCGAAGACTCACCTGAGATCACTACTGCCGATGAATCCAGAACCACTTATACAGTGCAATACCGACCAACTCAACCCAAGGCTGAGCCAATGAAGAACGGTGGCAAAATATCATATACGATGAACAAGTGATATTTGGAGGAATTCGATAGTACATGAAGTCCCGTCGTTGGTCGTAATGGTACTGTACAATAGGAGACTCCACGGAGTTCCTCAGAGTTTTCTTCCGTCGAAACCACATCTCACCAACGGAGATGATATAGGGGTAGTGACACGGGGGAGTCTACGATGAGTAGAGAGGATGCTCAACAGCACAAGGATTCGACTTGAACGAAAATAGAGTTGGTCCTTCGAAGAAATACAAAAACAAAGTTGGTACACACGAACTCCCCTTCGTCGTCATCATCACGTCATTGCAGGCAATTCCCCACGACAAGTCGGACACTCCATCTTTACCTGAGCCCAACCATCAACGACAACAATAGCAGAGCCGCAACCTACGTCCATCCATTGTTCAAGACAACCAGCATGGAATATGTGATCACAAGGAGTAATCACAGGCCGCGACTCCGGATCGTGGACCTCCGATAAATCGATATCGTTCATGCAGATAACCTGAACATACAATGCAAGCTGCTTCACGCGCCACAAAATTCCCTACGCATTCCGGAGCCCCAAGCTCTTCATCCTGCACTGAAGGCACTGCTCTATAGTAGTTATAGACGTGTGGTAGGCAAATCCACGGAACCTGGCATCAGACCTTGCCATACACGTCGGGATCATCGCCGACTTACGAAAGACCTGGGGCCAAACCTGGCCTGGGCCCACATAATGGCTATTTGTGCTACTTGCAAACACACTATCAGTGTGGCTTCGGTCGAGTTTGGTGCTGATGCCAATGCTGGGTACACCTGTATATAAGCAAACGATGGATATCCAATATAGATCGTGATGAGGTAAAATACGAAGAAGAGTTGTCGGTCGCATAAACGGCCAACCTCAGCAACGTTCTACAAGCTGTAGTGGTGGTTTGGTTTCTCTCCGTTTTACACTTTAACGAGCATAAATTTCGTACTCGTACTTAATCCGTACACTACTGTGAACTTTCACCCTCTTCTTCGACATAACGAGTTACTTCAACCGAAAAATGCATGGTACAGGATTCGAACCTGGACCCTCCACAAACTACACCTCTCCACATATTCTTAGCACACATGCTGTGCAGCTCATGATTCATCGAAGAAGTCGAGTTTCACCCTGATATTGGAGTAAACTGACTCACTGACGTCCTGGTATTGCAGGGGAGGAAAACGGAATGTTATTGAACATCTATCGATTAACTCTAGTTTGATATTATCATCGTATTTTACTTTTCGAATGAGTGACACAACTAGTAAGCTGGGAATATGTGGAGGTCTCCAAGTGCGTAAACCAGAGTAGCAGTGGAGTGGGAGTCTGAAACCTTGCTAGATTAGTGACAGTGTTACAAAAGCTTTTATATTCAAATATCAGGGTGAAACTCGACTCTTTCGATGAATTATGAGCCCACCATGTGTGCTAAGAATATGTGGCGTCGCACGACTCAAAATCCATATCAACCAACCCGAGACTATCTCAGCTTCTCCCCACTCTAACGAGAGTAGAAGGCACACGTGAGGAAGCGCTCAATGAGCGGCTTCAAGAGCGTCTCAGAGAAGTTCCGAAAATTCAATGTGTCATGTCCCCCGTCATGACCTCGCCATTAAAGATGGTATATGGACATGCCAGTGCATACAAGGGGACAATCATCCTTGTTATCGATATACCCACTATGAAACGCCACGACAGAGGCCTCTTGTGACCTCGGACGATGTCGTATACTATTTGAGGTACCTGCCATCAAGGGACGATTACTTCCACACAAACGTACTTAAACTACTACTACTACCCAATAGCACTGCATGATGATGATAAGAACGTTCAAATACTGGTAGAAATTATACAGAATTACCATACCGACCAACAGGGTGCCTAATGGGCGCACACTAGTGAGGGCGGCACTACTGTAAGAAGCTACTACCATAAAAGCGTGAGTAAAGCCAGCCGAGCTCTCGTCGTATTGAATCCATACCTCCCTCGTTGAACTGATTCTGCCGACGACTCCGCCAAACAAGCAGTAGATACCGCACCTGTGAAGATGATGCAATAATCAAGGGCTACCTGTTGAAGATCAGTGCTGACCTCTAACATGCTAAAGAGAATGAACTTGAACAAAGCGACGACTGAGAAGGTGTTGAACATGAACCTGAGCAGTCACCACACCGTGTATGATGCCGCCGCCGCCGCCTTACTGAGCCGATAGACCCAAGAAAAGGTGTATAAGTGAGTCGTAAGCATCCATGAGGGCTTGAACACCGATACACAATAGAGACACCTGACTCGGGAGTCCTTACCAATCAGATGGATAAAGCAAACTTCGCCTGTGTGACCCAAACTCACTTTAGCGTGACCATTGTTGTTATCACCATGCTGCATTTGCAACAGAAAGAATCGAATTTGTAAGATAGTTATGATCTGAATTCAAAATACTCAAGACTTCACTCCCAATCCTTACATTATTTAAGATTGAGTAATTTATCACTTTCCTCCCCAGTTTTCTCACATCGATCTCTCGCAGAGTCATACTGAAAACAATAACGTAATGCACCGGGAAAAGTTCATCTGAACCATAATGACCATAACTTGCTCGAATCCAGAAGGTCGCCATAGAATAGTTGAATATGGCAAACACAAAAGGAGTGGTGTTATAAAATTTGGTGTCTTCAGCGTAACAAAGGCTTTCAAGAAGCAGACGACATCACCCTGTTAGTGAAGTCTGACGGACTCAATCAGGAGATACGCGATATAATCTTTAAACACAGGTGAGATTTTTTTCGTGAAGAAATATATAAGACCCATTCGACGTGCATATAACCATATGATTACACGTAGTATCACCAACGACCACGAACTAGGCCTCCCGACGCTACCTGATTTTGAATCCGCAGTTTTCACTCACAACCGTTCCAACAGCAATTTTCTTGCCGTCCAATGGCAGAACGTCGCCCTCATTCACCTCGTCTCTAGAGGGTGTATGTATCTCCAGCAAAAGGCCATAGGCGAGAATGAACACCATCCGAATTGGGAGGAAGGAACCCTTCAATGTGCTCGAGTCCTCCTGTTATACTCCCAAGAAGACTTACCATAATCCTCGCTGGACCAAT